GGCTAATTATATACTGCTATGTTGACTATGCGTGGGCTCAGCCCTTATGAGCCACTTGCATCTAAATTCTCAGACATACATAAATACGTGTATCATGAATGGAAAGGTTGGAAATTATGTGACTTACCAGGACTTCTCAGAGCAACACAGATGTGAACCAATATTGGTCATGACACCTGCAGGATAAATAGATTATCTCCTGGGACTTAGGAATTTTCATACCCAAATGCCCATGTTTCCACATCTCTAAACCAAAAGCTAGAACATGCTTTTGACAGAGTGTAATCAGCTGGAGTTTTAAAGTGCTTTGGGATTCATCAGGTTTGACAGTGCTATATAATTGTAAGATCACCATTGTACACATATCATATAATTATGCCATTGCAAATGATTTGTACTTTTAGTAAGATTGCATTGGATTTTTGTAAGCTTATGTCAGTGTATATATTTATCTTGTAATGTAGAACTGGAAGCTATTTGAAGCTTCAAATAACTACGGCAAAAACTTCTTGCTTACATGACATTGTAAGAAATAAATTACATTATTATATAAAGAGTTTTAGTGCATATCCAAACAACTAGATGTATTTTGACACACAATTTCTATAATTGTGATATATGTCTTAATTCTGTAATTTAAAAATCAGTTATTTTCCAGATGTATACATTTCTAAAAGGGCTTCCTGTTTTGACAGACGAAAAAAGTGTCTTTCCTCATAGTGTAACAAAATTGGCCAATTTCTATTTTAAGATTGTGCTCAGTGTTCAGTAACATGAGCACGGAAATTCCTTGGGACCTCCCATACTTGATATCAATGCAGGGCAAATTCAGGTAGAGAGTTTCAACAAGAGAGTTTCAACAAAAGAGTTTGATATATTTTTGACTTTGTACTTTTAACCCCCCCCCATAATCAGATATGTGAATATTTGTCAAGAAAGATCCAGTCTGATTTGATTTGTTTATCTTATGTGATTTTTAAAACAAGAGTTTATTTGGAAATTTTCACATTAGGAGCACGGTGAGGTTTCATGAAGGAAGGTACATGTGGAAAGCGTGCATCAGTCACACCAGGCTTCCTTTGGAGTCAGTAAGAAGAAAGAGAGGTGATTCAGTTCACCCTAAGTGTCCAAGACAGGTCAGATTAATCACCTCCTATTTCTTCTCCTGATCCTGAATCCTGACATTGAGAGTTATTGCTCACACACTAATTCATAGCAGATTTTTCCATGTGTCACCGTTTCTGTAGGAACACAGCAGCTGTCAAAGGTAGTCTAATTTACTGGTGCTTTATACCCACTTTGCCCTCCTGTATGTACGAAAATGCTGTGCTGGCTAACTGAAAATGAAGAGGGTGTCAAAGGGTGATCACCAGTGGCTCTATCCACAGGGAAGCCACTTACCCGTTGCAGTGGCCATTGCAACGTACTTGAGATTTCTACTAAATGCACAGGAAGAAGGAGGCAGTTGATAGTGCAGCGATATATATTTTGCACATATATATGCTTTTGTACTGAGCAGAATCACCCAGATAAATAATGAAAGGAGACAGCAAAACGAAGTCTGGAAGGGATGCAGGTATGGAGAAAAGAACCTTTTTGTGTGTGTCCTTTTTACATCCAGATGAGTAAGCTGTTTATTCTGTTATCCAAACCTTCAGTGCACTAGCTGCAACGACAGACTTAAGGAGGGACAAACCTACCATTCCCTGTTCCTCAAGAGTACCCTACCTATGGGTTATTAAAAGTGGTCATATTTGCCATGCCTGTGAATCTTTCAATCAGAAAGATGGATTCTGCAGCCCAGAAATTAGTGCTTTCAGATAGGTAAATGAGCAAAAATTTTGCAGGCTCCCTGTGACAGTGCTGTTGAATAGGGTTATTCTCTGATGTCCACGTTCTGTAGAATAATTTGAGACAGTTAACATTAGATCAAAGTTTCTCTTTAATGGTGTGGCAGAACGCTGGTTTTGACACTCTTAGTGATTAACACATATGCGAATCATTCTAATTAGTATGGTTATAGGATTGTAGCCATCAGTAGATGAATGACTTGGGTTTGGGTTTCATTTTCATCATCTCCACATGGAGTTATGACTGCTTTCCTAATGACTGATAAAAATTGCCAAATGATGAAGGGAAAGATGCTGGAGACCATCTGTGTGAAACAAAGATGACAAGGGACATTTGGGAAAATATTTCATGCTCGATGGAAGCATTAGTGCAGCCAGACATAGACTATGGACAGATACTTGCTTGCAGCCCTGGCTGTGTGGGATGACACTGCCTCAGCAGCTCCGCTGATGGAAGGAGGCATATGAACTCTTATGGCTCCAGACAGTGGCAGCTGAGTTAGATGGAAGTACTTCATCAAGTGTGTAATCAAATTCAGATGAAATGCCTACTTTTGGCTTTAAGTTGAGTTTACTCACCCGCTTTTGAATCCTCACACACTTCTGAACTTTCAGGTGTGTTGGTATTATTTTTTCATTACCAGATAAGTTGGTCGTTCATGAACTTTTCTCTTGGATTTGGACCTTGTTATTTGAATTTACACCTTTATGAATAGACTATAGAAATTTAACTATAGACATATTTTGGTGACAAAGATTAATTACTGCTTAAAAATTAAAAGTAATCATTGATGTATCCATCTCATGTGTTTGTGTCAAACTGGTTTACAATTCTGATTTTTTCATGAATGGTATTGATAATCTTATAAATTAAAAGGATTACCACCAGTTTCGTGCTAGTTATTGAACTCATGTACACAGCTGTGTGAAATACGTAAAGTACGATAGGTATGCATTTCTCATTTGTTAGATTATATTCTTTCCAGTGGTTACTATTTCCTAGCATTTCATGAAAACTGTATCCTAAACTGCATAACAGCCTTATCCAAAGTCCACTGGAATAAGCGTAGGAGTCACATTGACTCTCAATTTTTTATATCAGCACTAACTATGAAAATTCTGTTTTAATATAATTTCAATAAGCCAAATTCATTTACATGAATGTAGGAAGTCATTAAATATGTGTCTAGAGTTAATATGAGTTTCACTCTTGTAATATACAAGATAGTTATACTATCCCTAGAACAAAGAAAATGCAAAGTTAAAGCTGCAGTGAATTCTGTAATACTTGTCAGTTTGCCACTCAGGAATGAAACAAAGGTGCTTAATGTGCGAATGCGCTTAACATTCAAATCCTGCGTATTAAACATAGGTTGTTCTTGAGTAATACTCAACTGAATTCCAAACATTCTTTAAAAACATATTTTCATTGAGAGATCAAATATGTAAGCAGACTTTCAAAACTGACTTGGTGTGGTGGTTTCTAATGGTTGGTATTTCAGAATTGTCAGTTCTTCTAAGTAATAAAACTCTACAAATTACTTTTAAAAAGAGAGTCTTATTTATGTGTATTCAGAAAGAATCCTGATTGCTTCATTTCATTGTGGGTTATACAACTAGAAGACTTTAACACAAACTAGGTTCTCAAATAATTTAGTAAAGTTATCAGATAATTTAGTAAAATCGTTATTTAAAAATAAAACTTACTTACAATTTCAGATTTAATATAAAAATATAGCAAGCACTGCCATGGAACAATTTCACACTGAGCAAGTCACTGGGAAATTGTCTCCATTCAGAATAACTTGTGTCGGAGCTCACGGCCTCTACAAGAAGAGAAGTGATCGGTCTAAGAAAAGCTGGTTCCCAGCAGACCTGTGCTTGGTGTCTTGGGGACCTGCCTGAAAAATTCCAGGGTGTTTCAGGATCCATGGGTGCAGAGATGTAAAAACATGTTTTTTTGTCTATGAAAAAAAATTTTCTTAAATAACTCCTAATTTCCTTTCACAATTTTCCTCACAATTTTCCTCATTTTTTTCACTCAATTTTTCCTCCTTTGTTTGGCCAGGTAGACCCAAACTCAATGTCTGGGTCCTGTATGTTGGCCCCGATAGAATAAAAAAATTGTCTGCACAAACTTTGTATGCATGATAAAATGAAAAAAAAATGTTGCTCTTACTCTCTTAGAAGACAATAAGAATGCAAATCTTTTTTGTGTACCTGGACTTGGACTATTTTTATACAGCTGTTTTCACATGAACATACAGAAATACGTAAGATAATGATCAGTGCCGTAAGGTTGGTTATATGGTCATAGAAACAGAACAAAGCCTGAACTGTTCTTTACTAAACTTCTACATATTTTACAGTTATTTCAGATATGTAAAATTATTCAAGTAAAAGTAATATTCAGGTAATTATCTGGAATCCATAGAAACATACTTTAACCTTACTTCTCTGTGGGTTTATTTAAACAATGTTCTATTACATTTTGCAAGGTAATAAGGATAATGGTATACATGATCATATACGTTACGCTTTTTAAAACCATTAGGTTATCTGGTCTATTCTGACAACAGCACAGCTTCTTTCCTTAAAGCATATTATTTGATGTTCTGTCCACTCTGACTTTAAGAATTGCATCTAACTGGGTCACTGAATCTTTATACTGCTAAACCAGGCACAGTATGAAGTACCAATTCAGAGTTTAGTGATGTGGTTAAAAAATCACTAGGGAGTAGGTCAAAACCAGCAAGGTTATTTTTACTTTCAACATAACTCATGTTTGAAGTGCAGTTGTGGTAAACTTGTTATTAGAAAATATTGTATAGAAGTAATTAAAAAACAGGTACTGGAGGCCATATCCTGCCATCACTCTGCAGCTGAGACCCACAAAAATGGCACTTAGAAAGCTGCTTGTGGAACAGTGTCAGACTGTGACCCTTCGCTTTCAATTCTACTTAACGCTACATAACGGCACACTTTCCATTTAGACACATATACACAGCTCCTTCTAAAGAGCACCAGACTCATATTCAAAGAAGTTTGCTCTTTGAATTATGTTTTTTAAAAAAATATTTTAAGCCTTTAACTTATTTTAATATATATTTTTTTTTCTCTTATTCTTCTTTCCTCCCCCTACCCCTCAAGCTATCTAGCAACATTTTGGACATATATAACAGTGACCAGGGAATGGCACCAGCTAATATGGGTCTCACAAATGCTTCTTGCCCAGCTAATCTACCAGTAAAAAGGGAACTCACAGGTAAAAGAACGCTGAGATTTTATTATTTTATAATTGCAGAAATGATGGTGTTTCTCTTAAAAGTTGAATAAATCTTACCCATGAAACAGATGTCCATAATTAAATTCCTGAGAATTTTGCTTGCTTGTAGTTTCACTTAAGGAAAAGAAAAAAGACCAAGGAGAAATGTTTTCTTTCTGTTCTCCTCTTTAGCAATTCAGAAACCATGTTTACCTCCTGTTTTTTATGAACATCATGCTTCTAATAAACTAATAAATTATTTTAGGAAACATAGTAGATTCTTGCACATATTGGCTCCTCATCAATGGCAGAAATAAATTATCATCCATTAAATTTGTTCCAGGGTAGAACAAATAATTCTTTTGAAACTTTACAATAAGGCTATTCAAGGTAAATCTATATTAGTGGATTAACAACTTTAAAAGTTACATTCAATTAATCCAAAGAATGCTAACAACCATGTACAGTTTATTAGTGTCACTCAGAAGAAACAGTGAGTTTGTTCAATATCTTACAAATCTGATTGAAATGATGGTGTTTCTCTTAAAAGTTGAATAAATCTTACCCATGAAACAGATGTCCATAATTAAATTCCTGAGAATTTTGCTTGCTTGTAGTTTCACTTAAGGAAAAGAAAAAAGACCAAGGAGAAATGTTTTCTTTCTGTTCTCCTCTTTAGCAATTCAGAAACCATGTTTACCTCCTGTTTTTTATGATCATGCTTCTAATAAACTAATAAATTATTTTAGGAAACTTAGTAGATTCTTGCACATATTGGCTCCTCATCAATGGCAGAAATAAATTATCATCCATTAAATTTGTTCCAGGGTAGAACAAATAATTCTTTTGAAACTTTACAATAAGGCTATTCAAGGTAAATCTATATTAGTGGATTAACAACTTTAAAAGTTACATTCAATTAATCCAAAGAATGCTAACAACCATGTACAGTTTATTAGTGTCACTCAGAAGAAACAGTGAGTTTGTTCAATATCTTACAAATCTGATTAACTCTTGCATTATGGGATATTGTATGTATATGGGATATTGATATGTATATGGATACAAATCCATTGTTGTACACATATTGTACACATATTGTGTACACATATTGTACACATATTGATATGTATATGGATACAAATCCATATTCATATCAGTGTATTCTAAGTTTTATCCTGATGTAAAATACACCAAATTGGAGAAAAATACCCCTCCATAGCATTTCTATGTTCTTAAATAAAAAATGTGCAATTAAAAAATCTTAAGCAACCTGCCAGACCTGCTCAAAAATTTAGTACTGGTAGAATGTAGATTTGCTTATGATATTGTTTAATAATAAAAAGACTAATGAAGTAAAAAGACTAGAAGGCTGCTTTTTGTGACAACGGGCCGTTTTGAAAAGATGAAAGAAGTACTGGAATTGTAACTTAAGGACTGTTTTAATAAATGTTACTTTCTGTCAGAAGCAGATACACGAGCAATGGCAAAGGAGAGACAAAAAAAGGATAACCACAATCTCAGTAAGTATGTGTTCATCTTCCATCTCATTAAATGGAATGTATGGGGAATGCAGAAATAATATACATTAGCTACCAAGTCTCTGCTCTTCTAGATCAGCATCTTACCAGGGTAATTAAATTGAACACAAACCACACAGCTTTCTTCCCTGAAATTAATTTCTGTTTTTGACTTTTGTCTTTCAAAATACTTAGCATATTGTAATTAATTTCTTTGCATATCATCTCCTGCTACTATGTTTTTATTCTACAGTTGTACACGTATCCTGCACATTTCACTCGAGGTTGTCTCTAAGAATACAGTGCAAAACAGACAAGAAAGGAGGCGGACGATGAAAAAAACAGTGAAAATCCAGAGGCTTCACACCTTGCTTAGTGAAGTACCCAAGTGATGAGGCTGTATCTTTCTACAGGGGATGGGAAGGAAAAAAAAAATTTACAGAGAATATTAGGCAACTTCTAAACACTAGTTAAGCACTTAAAGTTGTGGAAATCGCATGTCACAAAAGGAGCTCAGGGCAGGACTGAGACTAATGGTGCTCTGACTCTCCTCTGATACACAAGCCCCCAGCCTCTGTAGGCTTCTTTACGGAGGATGGTGCAGCCATGTACAGATGTTAGGCATTTCAGTTCTAGAGTAATAGTCTTCCATAGTTTAGGCTTAGAACACAGTGAAATTCATAGTTCGGTGTCTAAATGTTAAACCTATAAAAAGAAACAACATTTTGGTTTATCCAGAACAGAAAAAAAAATCAGTTTATTGCTGAAAGAAGATTGCTTCTAAAATTAGGCACTTTTTCCCTCTAAAGAGTAATTTGGGAAGAAAAAAAAAAAAAGCCACTAAAGGATTCTTTTCGGAAAGAGATGAGTAAAACAATTACATTTTCCAGTTCCTCTTTCCACTTTTTCCAGCAGAAATAATCTGGGAGTTGGACTCGATCCTTATGATTACCTTCCAACTTGAGATATTCTATGATTCTTTGAATTTAGACATAAATTTGTAACTAGTTAATAGCGACTATTTATATCTTTGTTCTCTGGCTACTCTGTTAATCTTAGAGGGCTTTATGGCTTCACTTGCATGAAATTATGTGCCTGGAAGTATACATCCATTGGTACAATGTGCTAGCAACCACTGTGGACAACTTTGTGCTACTTAGACTTTCCAGAAGGCATCCTTATTTCTGTCTGTGTATTTTTGTGGATTACAGGTAGACCATGCAGATTTTTAGGCCTGTTGCTAACACAACTCTGAAGTGCCAGTGCAGCTACTGCTTGTCTTCTTTGGGCAGGAATGGGGAGTTTTTGCTGGACTGGGAAAGGTGGTGGGTGGGAGTTGTCTGGAACTGCGAGAAGGGAGAAGACAGGTACATGAATACATTAGGGATGCCAGGACTTACCGCTGCCTCTATTGCTTGTTTTGGCTCTATCATCCTTCCTGAACACAGAAGACATGTCTGAGAACTGTCTCTCACCACTGGCAGCTGAGCTGAAGGTTGTATGCCAGGGTGATAGCACGCAGACATGCAACATCTCTTCTGGTTTGGTTCCAGGTGTATACTTCAGAGCTCAGTCACTCTGGAGATAGCTCTACTATCTGATGGCTTGGAAATATTAATGCATTACATATAAAGGCTTTATCAGTGTATTTACTCTTTCATGAATACCAGATATTTTAGAGATGATTTGAAAAAACAGTGTTTGAAACCTGATTTTCTAAACATTCATGTCAGGTTGAATAAGGTCCACATTTTACAGAAATGTTCTTGTACCTCCTCATACCAAGTAGGAACTAGAAAAACATTCCTTTTGAAAGATTGGATCCTCAATGAAACCATGAAAAGGGATTCAGATCTAAGAAATGGAATATCTTCTTGTAACAGCAAGAGTTTAAACCATTACTAAATGTATTTTGATTTTGGGTTTCTTGTTTTTTTTTCTCAAACAAAGAATCAAGGTGTAATATTTGTTTGCTATACGGTCGTCCTGTCCATGTAGTTTCAAAATTAATTTTCTTGTTTGACTTTGGTATAATTTAGTACTTGAAATAGTATTGATAGCTCAGGATACTTCTGGAACTGCATCAGACATAATCAGGAAAGTTCTATTGAAACACTTTTCCAAGCTTAAAAATTTTCTCCCTAATTCACTAGCATAATCATTTGGAATTTATTTTCAGGAAAGAACTACAAAAATAGAAAGAAAATGAATATTGTGTCTACTTGTAAAGAAATTTTTTCTTTGCCTTGTTTTATAGTCAACGGTTAGTTGACTGCTTTTTGATGAGTCCTTGCAGATCTTTTCCACACTGTAAATATTAATTAAACAACAGCTATTATGCCATATGACTGTATAGTTGATACACACTCTTTAACTCTTTTTGCCCTGTCATTATTTTGCCAACATCTTTTAAATTGCTCAGTTGCTATGGGCTTACACGTGTTCTCCTACAATATCAAGCACATTCATGCCAATGGGATGCAAGGGGTCCCTTAACAGTACACTCAGGAGGATTATAACCCTATGTGAATCATGACTACCAAACTTGACGTGCTTTAATCTGTTGAGTGAAATTCCTGTTTCCAGAGAGAGTAAGACAAGATAATGTGTCTCACCAAGGCAGAGCACTACACCAGGGTAAATAATAACACCTAGGGAGTTCCCTGGGCTGGAATCAGTTAGGGAGGAAATAGCTGACTGCTGCACAAAACTAGGAGCCTCACACAGAGAAGAAGGAAAAATACCTTTATGTATTGGAGGAAGTAAGTAGCTAAAAGAGATCTATGTGGTAGGGCTGAGACTGAAAGTGATATGCTCGTATGACTGTGAGAAGGTTGAAGTCAGCCTAGGAAGACTCACCAGGCTTCTCTTGACTGCACATTTCTAATTTAGCTCTACCAGGCTCTAAGGACTGGCTTTTTGTACATCTGTTCAAAATTAGGACCTCAAACTTTAAGTGTATGCCTCCATACATGGATGAGAGGAGCATGTATCCATGTTCTAGGCTGCCCTAGATGGGTCAGCCCTGGTCTGACAAAGTATAGCTCTATCAAGCCCAAAGTAAGGTCTTCCAAGAAGCAAGGGATAACAGAAATGGCTCAGTGCAATGCTGCTGATGAACCAAAGCTGAATCCTGTCCATTCGGTGAGGTTTAGATTGAGTCAAAGTACAACCTGGAGGGAGTGGACAAAAGTGCAAGTTGATGCCAGTAGAACGTCACTGTTGGTTTCTGACAGCTAGCAGTACCACAACAGGCATCCTATGGTGTTTGTCCTTCTTCCTCCTCAAAACATTTTTTTCCTGGTAGAAAAAGTAGTTTTTGCCATTGGTACAGCATTTCCACATTGTCCTTCAGTCTTGTCATAACTAGGCTACCCAGGAGACAGGTATATACAAGAAATCCCCCAAGGCAATGGGATGTCCTTTGGGCATCTATCCACTAGAAAATGTGAGATTTCTGCATGTAAAAGCAGCTGGAGAAAACCTGGTGAGAAAGCAGAGGAGAATTCCCTCTAAATTAGTGACATGGGAAGCAGAAAGGTAACACCCCCTTTGTGCAGAGAAGGGGCTCACAGTCCAGTCTGGATACCAGTCCAATGCTGATAAAGTGGACTGAGAGCACAGAGAGGGAGAATTAATTTTAAGAGGCTTATCTTCTCTTTTTCCTAACTAAACTGCAAGTAAACCAAGATGCCATACATAGTTTGTCTTAGAAGAAGCATAAATTTAAATACAGGCTTTTTTTTTTATTGTTTCAGTGAGGTTTTTCTTCATTTTCTGTGAGTTCTAAAAGTTATTGTAAATAAACCTGTGCTGTCCATCATCAAAGGAAATGGATATGCTGAGGATGAAGTGTTTCTGGTACAATCTTTCTCCGTTTCAATGAAGGGATATGATTTCAGTTATGTCTTCTCTGTGGTTTGCAACAACAGTAGATAAGGGATAACAAAGCTGTTAACCATGATCTGTAGCAGGATTTGTGACAAAATATGAGATGCTGGATGAGGTGTCTTGTGTTCCTGTTGAAGTCATCAGCAAACCCCACTAAGATGAAAACTCTGTTGTGTGGGAGCAGGGTGGAGGAGAAAAAAAAGAAATGTTAGCTCACATTTAGACAATACATGACTATTTAATTCTCTAGAAGTTTAGCTGTAAATGGGGGAGAAACCTACAGGTAGGGTAAGATACAGAGATGGTACTAATCATGGAGTTTGTCCTTAGAGTAAGTCAGAGACAGGTAAGAGATCAGGTTGGGACTTCTATTTGAGGAAGAAATTTTCTGTACGTTGACTGATTTATTTTTAACTAATTCAAATGGTTTATGTTGAATTTCTCCAAGAATATTTCACCATAAAAATAGTAACTGTTTCTTTTTAACAGTTGAGAGAAGAAGAAGGTATAATATTAATTACCGAATCAAGGAGCTTGGCACACTCATCCCCAAGTCTAATGATCCGTGAGTTCAACAGTCTTTCCTATAACAATGTTTATAGTTTAAATACAGGGGAAAAAAGACCGTTGCATATACTGGCTATAGGATTGAGTAATGGGATACAAAATCTTCCATGCTGGGTCACTGACTCAGATCAGACTGTTGAAGTAACAGACCCTTGACAGACTTTTGGTGCCTGTTGGGAAAATTTATGTGAAAGGATAATAAAAAATAAAGCCATTCCAGGGTGTTTAAGAGAGACTACCACATCAGGGAAACAAACAAAAAAATAAAACCCAAACAAAATAAAACAAAACAAAAAAAAACAGGGAAAAAAGAAGATAAGCCAGACAACAGAAAGTCCAGCTCTCTGTCCCTGGGAGCAATTGTGTGGTGTCTCTGGAGAAGGAGTGATGCTTTCAGCCCTGGCCATGGGCCCTCTAGTGGGATAAAACAAAATATATGTTGTCACTGTCTGCTCTTTGCCTAAGGAAAAGAAAAAAATCGGCTTAAGAGTCTTTTTCAAAATCTTCCACTCAGTGCAGGGAAAACAAGTCCTAAAATGCAAACACAAAAATAATAATTGCTATAATTGCTATAATAATAGCATTTTATACTAATGCATATACTTAGAGTAACACAAAATGCATATTGCTTCAACTATACCTGCATTCCCCTAAAGCTTATATTTGTCATCAATATGAAAAAAGCCTCCTCGGTAGGAAAGCCTATTGCAGGATTAGCAATAACAATTCAGTATGATATTTAATGCTGAACTTGAGCCTTAGAGTTCTCATGTCACTCAGGGAAGCCTTAAGACCATGCACCAGCATGATTGTAACTCACATAAAATTGATCATACAGATTTTGTCTTTATCATTTGCATGTCAATAGAGACCTGCATGATACTGCAAATGAAAACATCTATTGATATGTCAACCTTTTTTTTTTTTCCTTAGGACTAAGAAACTTTTGATTATATTAAGGATTTCTATAATAATATAAAGCTGTGTGAGACTTATATAAGTGCAAGTTTGGTATAATAAGCCACTTAGAGCAGAAATACCAGAGAAAAAGTTAATATACTGCATCCATTTTAGAGAATTCACAAACTTAGCTCCTTCTACAACATCCACCCAAGATTAGATACATGGGCATGTTCTTGTTATTAATATAGAATTAGGTATTACAGCTGAGTTAAAATAATAAGTGCTTTAAATACCTAAATAAAGTTTTGGCCTCATGTGATCCATTGCAAACACAGTCTGGTAGAAGAGTTTTTATTTGCTGGTGCATCTTTCAGTATTCAACACCATTTGGGCAGATAATTGAAAGATTTCTCAGAAAAACAGTGGATGGCACTGTTGGTTTGCAGCTATAAAGCAATAATGGAAGCAAGTTACACTGCAATTAGAAATGGGCATCAGGTACAAATTCCAGTTGCGATTTTTGATTGCCCACAGAGGTGTTTCAGTTACCTGTTTTGGTCTGGATTCAGGTTTAGTCTATGAACTTATTCAAAACGTTAATACCTGGAGCAATCACTTAAACTCTTCTTAAAATGAATGGCCTGGAGCTGTTATTTTGCTCCAGTAAGTCGTTGATGGATGTTACCCACAGATTTTGGTGGTGTTGCCTGATGAAAAAGTTTCAGGTATAGATCCTGAAGACATTGCTTTTTCTTGTTTAGTCTGCAAACATATGACTGAGTTCAACAGTGTGACAGCCCCAAAGTGGCTGTGTTTACAAAAACACGAGGTGAATTTAAGAATCTTACGTTTTGAGGACTGCTGCCTTAAAAAGGCTGGTAATCAGTACTCCTTTTGAAAACAGGCATATTTAAAAGCTTTCAAGTTGGTGTTAAAAACAAAGAGGCATCAAAAGGTACAGGATGCTTTTGAAAAACTAGGGTATAACATAACTTTGCTATAGCTTGGTGCCAGGTTAAATTAATTCAAAGAAGTGTAAACTCTTTTTTTTTAACATATATTTGTAGGTGGAAATACATTAATTTGATCATGTTGTTGTTGGCTGAGAAGATCAAAGTTATTATTTCTTTCTGGTATGGTCCTGTGTTGCAAAATCGTAATTCAGTGTCCTTAAGTTCTCTTTCAGTTCTTGCTTTTTCCTTCATAACACCTTACTGTGCCCCCAATCTGCCCTCTTCTTCTTTGAAAGAAAGAGATGCATCTTCTCTTACAATACTTTATCTGTAACATTTTATCACACATAACATTTTCACCTCATATATTGATTTTAGAAGATCCTTCTTATAGTGGGAACTTAGCTTTTAAAGGAGAAACCGTACTGATGCTTGGACTAATGACAATGAAGCAAATCAGCCTTTGCATTGAAGAGCAAATACTACTATAACTAAGCAATTGTGGTTAGCATGCCTGTCCCAGATGGCTTGCTACATTCAGACTCCGGAACAGAAAAGGACATTTTTGATGTTATTTGGAAACCTTTTATGATTTATATTTCTTAGAAGTGGTGTGTGGGGGTTTTATTTCACTTTTGTTTTGTTAGTTATATAGTGAACTTGTTTAGCTCCTGCAGACCTTCTGCAGGGACTTTCTTTTGACTGGCTTAAACCCCTATTCTTTTCACTTTTTTTTTTTTTTTTTAATTTAATGATGAAAAGTGTGGATTACATTGCTTAAATGAATGGGTGTTTTAAGTTCACTTCATCAGCATTAGAAAATGGAGATATGTATAAGTTGCAAAGAACTTAGACTCTTTTGTTTTATTTTCAATGCTTAGATATCCAAGTGGTAGATCATTCAGAAATGCAAAACAGCTACACAGAATAATTAAAAAATAGAATTAGAAAAGACCCAAAATACCCAGTCACATTCTGCTGAAAAACTCATCATCTGCTCCTTTCGATATACCTACCTTTCCATTCATGGCTCCTTTATGTTCAGCCTTTCAGAACCCACTTTTAGGTGGTTAACAGGACTTCACCTTGTGATAGAGTCTGGAAATGCCTACGCGAGAACCGTTTTATGGTAGCCAGACAAGAATTGCCCCAAATAATAATAATAAAAAAAAATCATTTTCCTGTAAGAATTCGAATCATTTTACAGAACCGGGATGTTAAGAGAACCACTGAGGATTTGGGCAGAAGTAGTGGGCTGCTCTCACTCTCTCTCTGCTCTCTGCTCTCATCTGCCTGTGCCTGACCTTCTGTCTGTTGTCTGTGGACAGACCCACTAACAGCCAGCACGGCCACGTTTCTTGTAAAGGAAAAGCTTGTGTACACTCATGCTATTATAAAATGGAAACTTGCCCCCCCTTTCAGGAGAAGGCACTTCGTAATTGTGCAGGTCATCAAAACAAGTATAAAGTCCTTCAAAGTATTTCTTTGAGCAAGCATAGTTTAAAGCTAATTTCTCAGAAATAGGGAAGGAAATGGTCTGCAAACATAGTTTCAACTTCACAAACGTATTTGTTATTAGTAACTGCTCTGTGGCTGGCAAATTCTGTGACTATCCCCCTCTCCCAAACTCCGTTTTTGTTAATTAGTTTTAATCTTAGATGATTGGATGCTCTCGTCCTTCCTACGGTTCAACTTGTGTAAACTAGTGAAGCTCCTTCGACTTGAGTTAACTTAATGGAAATGAGCTGAAGATCAGTCTCATGGCTGTTGCTTTTCTCCTAAATGAGAAACTCTCCTAGGTGAGAGCTATGTGTTTTTGGTCTGTGTATTTGACATTTATAGAGAGATTCAGCTGGTAAAGTTAGGAGGAGCTAGGGTTCAGAAACTAATGAAACATCGAGTGTTTTTTACTTGTATGCTACTTTTCCATGCAAATCATGTTAAGTGTGGCAGACCTCTGTTAATTAAACTAGATAAAACACGCATAGCTTGCTAAAAATTTCAAATTATTGTACCACATGCACACACAGAGACAAAGACACAATCCTCCTTTGCAGAGGTCATCGCTGATGACCAGACCTGCAAAACTTCTTACTGCTCTCAGCCGGCTTGTTTCACGTGTTGAGGTTCCCATCGGTTTCAGTATTTACAGGATGGAGTCTTATGTACGTACAATAAAAATGAAAAATAAGAAATAAAAAAGAAAGCAATTAGTAGATAGTGAAAGAGTAAAATAATAAAAAAAGAATTTTTCCTGCTGTCTCCAAAGACTAGTTCATCTATATCAAACTTCATAGGTTCAAAACAGCTATGAATGCAACTGTTTTGTCTGTTTTTATAAAACAATTTCCAATAAAATTAGTAACTGCCAGTGGCTGCTCAGTTTTTAAAGGTTCTCAAATGGGCTTATAGGCCTTGTAATTTCAAATTATATCTCTGTTATATACTAAGCACAACATATAAATCTCTAAAAAGCAAAAACCACAATTTCCTAGTGACACTTTTATAATTTTTCAGATAAACTTATTTGCACCTAATTTAGAATTCAGCATTTTCAGAGAAATAACAGAAAACCAATAACTGATCAGAGAATTCCCGAATTCTTCTTATATACTTGCTGTGCTTCAATTTAATCCATCTTCAAATGCTGAGGTGTTTTTTTCTTCCCGTCATAGGCGAATCTGCTTGCCTGCCTGCTAAGCAGGGCTAGATGCATTGCAGACTATTGCTATGCAGATACCTCTCCCGTGCCTATTCCCCCCATTTGCCTTCATCCTCACCAGTTGTACTGCTACTCTTCCAACCCTGTACATCTGCATAGAGCCTCTCTTTCTCCATAGCACTCTCCTGTGACTGCTGTATAGTGCTCTGGGCTAAAATGGGTGGAAAGTGTCTGTAATGCAGAACCAGCACAGACATCTTCAGTATTTTCTTTTGCTCCTGGTATAGAGAGACAGAGAGTGAAAGGCATGTTGGCTTCTCAGGTCACCAGCTGATCCTTTGCTGCGTTGCCTTCAGACATTGGAAGGTTTAACCTCAATATTCCTCATTTAAAAAGATACCAGGCAATATATGTACATATGAGTAGAGACATAGAAAATGTGTGAGATGCATGCACGTGCACAGACACACACACATAACAGTCTCCCTTAAATTATAATAGTAAACTCAGCATTTTCATCCTAGATCTCCATGATAGTTTTGCCTCTCAAACTTCTAAATATTACCACAAGAGATATCTATCCATATGTATCTCATGCAGAAGCTGACCAGATCGCTCTCTCTGGCAGTTTGAATCCACGAATTAGATCTCCAGTGAAGACTTATTTCAACCTATGAGAAAAAATGTCATTACCATATACATAAAAATTCAATCAAGGCAACATGAACTAAAAGTAGACAATAGCACAAAGGTTGTCAATTGTATGTAACATGGATGAATTTCATCACAAGAAGATTCCAAATACAGTCATGAGTATATGACTTATATCTCAACGAGAAAAATTAACTAAAACTATTTTTGTCTGAATTTTATTTTGAATTCATAACATTTTATAACTGACATGAAATTATTTGTGAAATAGCTATGAAATATTTGCCAAATATGTGCTACATATCCATATTTTTCTCCTTCTGTTATATGTCTTAATTATTTCCATTTTGCCAGCTATGGATTAATTTCTAATTTTGTAGTGCTACATGTTCAGACCATCAGTCCAAAACTGGCTTGGTTTTGTCTCAGTTATATGCTAGGAGGAGCTGACCCCCCTTGCCGAGGCAGACTGTGTTTCTCCAGAGTTTATGCTACAGGTTTTCTTATTACTGTAGCGCTTTTCAAAGTTGCCATGAATACGTCCTAAATCAGTCGTTTCCACTTTAAATTAGACAAAAACCTACTGTAATTCTGAGCTATACATAGCACATATAGCTCATATCTGAGATAGCGGTGGAGATTCCCAGTTTGAAATGTTGTTGTCCTCCTAACTTTAGCTGCTCCTATTTATTCAGGAGTGCTCTGGTGTACACAGACAGGCACCTTGCTGCCTTTCAGACTTCACTGCAATTCACGTGTAAATAGGGACCTCTCAGTAATTTACCTAACTTTCCAAAGAGGTCTGAAGAAAACCAGATGGTAATGTGGTGATGACAGTCAAAGATTTGCCCAGAAAATAAGCATCATGTGTACTAAAAACTTTCTTAACCTTTACAGTTTGAACAAAGATATCCTACATGCAAGGAGAAAGTCCTCTGCTAGGAGGGAGTCCACGGGATGCTGGCAGGAAAATGTTCTGTCCTCACACCTGGGCAAGAAGTACAGGGAGGGGAAGGAGGAGGCAAAGGGACCACCAAGAGATGATTCAGCTGTCATGAGGGAGACAGGTTCTACTCTTTGTCATGAGGGAGACAGGTTCTACTCTTGGCTCTCACTCCCACCTCTGTTTTAGTTTTTTTTAACCAGGGATGGTCTAAATGAGAATATATACCTACTTCAGCGAGCAGCCTCTGATGTTTTGGCTTTGTAGACAGCAGGGTCTGAACCCCTCACCTTCTAATCCCAAAAGCTCTGCATTCCTGGCCCACATCACTGAGATGAGGGGAGGTCGCAGTGTGCTGGAGCCCCACAGTGTGTGTGCCACCCAGAGAGGACAGAGATGTGAATTTGAGCACTCAAAAAGCTAGTTGTCCCAAATCTCTGGCAAATGATCTAAATTTTAGGATATGCTTAAACACTCTGACGCTTTATCACAAATCATTTTGTGTATTCTGAGCATCTTTAGAGCTATCAGCTCCCTAAGTTTTCATCCCTAGTACAGTGCATCAGGAAAGGCCAGCTGGTGTGGGTCCCCAAACCATGTACCTGCCTGGCTTTTGCCCTATACATTCAGTAGAAAGACAACTGCCTTGGTGGAAGTCTCTAAGGGTGCTTAGCCTTGAGGTAAGTGTGCAAGGTTCCTTAGGCGCCTACTTTGAGAAGCTGAATGTAAAGCACAGACATTTCTGCAATAAATCCACCCCAGATCACAGTTTTACCATAGGTGAGCATGTCAGTAGGAGCAATCTCATTAACTAAAGCAACCAAGGAATAATGGAAACTGATGTATAATTTATATTTCTTTTTGACTCTGTAATTGCTAGCATATAAATATATGTATTTGGAACAGATGATAAAAAAAAATGCACTAAGGTGGTCACTTGTCACTCCCAACCTCAGATTCTTACTGGTTTATATAGCTTTTTCCTTCTTAGGTTGCTTTATAGGACCAGAACCTTTGCCAATCTTCTGCTCGGTCTGAGGCATCATGCAGTGAAGTGGGTAGTTTGGATAAACCCTTCTGTCTGTATATTTAATGCAGCAGGCCCATCCTATATCATAAAATACTGAACTTTATTAGCAATTCAACATTTTCAACAAATTTAATTCTTTTTCCAAGGCCTCCAAGAACTTACATAAAGGAATGGTGATAAAGAGGTACATGAAAGTCCTTGAACAGATGTATTTGAACAAGTGTATTGTTGTTAGTAAGAGTGCTTGTAAGCTGGAAGTTACACCATGATTTCCTGAATGATGGACAGGTTTAATCTTATTTTTTTAACAGGCTTTTATTTTGAGTAGGGTTCTGCATATAGCTGTGGATTTTAACTTGGTTTATATTGTTTCAAGGTTTTTGAACAGGACTTTTGTCAGTCTGTAACCATTATGGTTACCAAAGTGTGATTTGTCTGGTCTATCATCAATGAGGAGTGGCATTCAGCACAGACCATTTTTTTCTTAACAAGCATAAAAGCAACCTCATTAGTAAGTCAGGTAAAAGGAGTAGTATATTCAAAATGATCTTTAAAAATTTAGTCTTAAGTCCTCAGTAATGTATATTTCCTAGTTCATTAATGCAGAAATACTGCACATAGATTTTAATCTTAGAGTTAATAATAAAAGCAATTTTCACTAAAAATATAAAAACTGTAATGGTAGAATCATGATATTGCATTTAGCTCTCCCACAAAAAGTCACTTTATTACTTTCTTTTGACACTTATTTTCATTCTGGGATTAATTTTACTATATAAGGGCTTCTTAACTATTCTATTAAAATTTCCATTCAGAAGCAATAATATCTAAGAGTGAATAATAGTCATGTAAATCATTATTTCATATTAATGTAAAAGATTTTGTAAGTTCTTATGAATTCTGCTGACATGCACAATTGTGAAAAGGTTATCTCTACATTCTGCAGTGATATGCGCTGGAACAAAGGAACTATTTTAAAAGCATCAGTAGAGTACATCAAGTGGCTACAAAAAGAACAACAGAGAGCCAGAGAATTAGAACACAGGCAGAAGAAATTAGAGCATGCTAACAGAAGACTTCTACTCCGAATTCAGGTTTGTATAAGAGCGTCGTCACGAACTACAAAGCTTTCTCAGGACTTATCCCTCATCAAATTTTATTAATCTATATAATTTTTCCCCAAATGACATTTATTAAAAATGAATTGGCTTTCCCTATTTATCGCTGTGTATATTGGGGAGGGGATATTTTTTAGATTTCTAGGAAATTCCTTTGATAATTAAACCTTACATAAAAGCATACCTGGAAAGTTAATAAAGTATTAGTACAAACATTTTCCTTATGTATGTATTAAAGCCAGAAAAAGACAGAAAAGGAAGCAAAAAAACCATATCCCTGCAGCCAAGGATCAATACTGGACACAAAATTCCCTTCAGTATTTTCGTTTTCCCTTTGTAAACATTTCATACATTATGCTGCCATGTTAGACCTGCTTGTGACATGAAGCAGCAGAATATGGCCCTGCATGTCTTGAAATGCAAGATTTGAATCTTGCGTATGAAGATAGATAGAGACAGACACAGACAGACATAAAATCAATCAGCTTATATATGGTGATTAACACCTATATCTGTGTATCATAAGCATCATCAAGTAAAGTATCTTCTGTTTCTCTGGATGGCAGTGGATAACGAACCAGAAAGTTGCAATGTTTTTCTGCCACCTTTGCTGGGTTCGGTACGCAATGGTTTTAGAGAGGCTGTCCTACCTCATGTTCCCGTAGCACAGCTGCCTAACAACAGGAGGGGAAATAAAAAGAAAAACAATCGAGTGGCAAATTTTCATAGGTTAGCAATTTCATATTTTAACACGTAGTCTCACAACTGGACAAAAGGTATCATTAATTTGCATGTACGATCCATATACTTATTGCAATAGTTCTGAAGACACCGTTTTGTCTTCTGAAGTCATTGTCTAATTGTTTTTGTTTGAAACATTAGGAACTAGAGATCCAGGCACGTGCACATGGCCTTCCAGTCATGTCTTCACTCAATGCTGTTGATTTAGCTGCACAGGTCATCAAGCAACAGTCTTATCCAGAGGAGAACTCTGTGAACTACTCTCAACAAATGCCTCTGGCACATGGACCAAATTCTGATGTTTGCGATGGATCTACGGCCTTTTCTGACCCACTTTCACACTTCACGGATTTGTCCTTCAGTGCAGCTTTAAAAGAAGAGCAACGGCTAGAGGAAATTTTACTGGATGACACGGTGTCGCCATTTGGAACAGACCCACTCTTGTCCTCCACGTCCCCAGCCGCATCGAAAGAGAGCAGCAGGAGAAGCAGCTTTAGCACAGATGATGGTGATGATTTATAAAAGCAGAAAGGGCCTCGTACTTCTCTAAACCACTTGTTAAGACTAAGTTGAACGTAAGCATGGTGTTTGTGCTTATTTTAGATATGAGTAAGGAGAGCCATTGTGAAGATAAGTTACTACATGACAAGGGTTTAAATCAGCCCTTACTTCGCAGGAAAATGAGACGGACGTGAACTCATATCACTTTGCCTCACATTCACGTCCTCTGTTCACAGCTGACATTTGCACAAATCTTTCTTCACTGGGATGTTTTTACTATTGTTCCATGTCTTTTTACAGCACTATGAAAATGTTTACCACAAAAGGAATACCCATGTTACAAAAGTGTATTCAAACTCTCTCTTCAATCTGCTTTCATCATTCTCTGCTATAAACATGAGCTTTAGTAATTTTTTAATTTATCTTTTTTATATAACTAAAAGTTCTACAAAACGTGAAGCAACGGGGAACTATTTAAGCTGGGAACTATAGAGATATTACAGGTTTTACAATCTAAAAAACCAGACAGTAATGCTTTCTCACAAGTGAAGTGAGCATGAAATTTAAACTGTGTAAGATCGTCTTTAAAAAGAGAAAATCCATTAAGCTTTTCATGGAATTCCATTTTTTAAAATTTCACTTGTAGAAGAAGAACAGACTTTTAATATATGTTTTAATGATACAGAAGAAATTTGGAAACTAACATAATGACAGAGACTCAAACAAACTCAGACAGAAAAAGATATGATATTTCAGCAGAAAGACTGTATGGATGTATAAGACTCAACAAAGATACTCCGTGTTACAGTTAGCACAGTTTAAAACAAACATTACCAGTAACAGTGCTATGTCAGCTGCTTATTCCAAGAATATGCAAACTGTGTCCTTTTTTGTGTGGAAGAGATCAGAATTCAGAAACATGACAGCGTGCTTCTGGACAATGCTTTCAGTGCCCTTTGGCAGCACAGTAAGGTTTTTCCAAAGGGATTCTACTTTATCTACATGCATGCCTTTGATCCATTTGGAAATGGAGGGAAATGGCAAAATTCCCATTGCATACGCTTGAAACAAAGAGAATTTGATTTCAAATTTGGCTTCAGAAGGCTTCAGAAAAACAATATTGGTTATTTTCAAATTTGGCTACAGAAAAGCTGAAAAAGACGACTTTTCAAACCAAAGGGGATATTCAGAAATGTTGATGTGATGCACTGCTTCTCCTAACCAGCTTTCTAGGAGGGGGCATTCAGAAAATGTGTTTTGATGACTCCGTAAAGGCTTGGCAGTTCGAGGGCAGGGAGACGGCATATCACTTCTGTACGTGGTGAAATTCTGGAGGGTGCGTTCCTGGAGGACATTAAGTGCAATCATTCTGGCTGTAGTATTGATACATGGGAAAATAAGCTGGCACGGGTTCTTCATAGCTCTTCGTCAACCAGAGCCAAGAGAACACATTAGGGAGTTCTCTAACAATTCCAAATATGTTTCAAAAGTGTGTATTAATTTTGCTGTTACTGAGCTTGCCTCATGCCCCAGAAGTGTCACAGGATTGGAAATAATAAGAAGAGATTAAAATGCATTGTTCTTTGCATTAACATTTTTAATTTATTTAAACATATTATCCAAGAACAGAGCAATTTTTTCTTTCTGTTGCCTCTTCTGTTAGGGGTACCTGGGTCCTCCTCACAGTTCTTGTGAGGTTTGTGGTCCTCCAGGGCCGTAGCCCGTTCCTCACCAACCCAGAGAGCTTCTTAATTGGAAAGTTAGCAGGGAGATAATAAGTTACATCCGGATGACTATGAAAGGTGATAGAGTATCCAATTTCACAAGAATATTTATGTTTTTAGGAAACTCAAGGATTTCTACGAGCCTATGCAGGCTACCCGGACGTAAGCTGAACAGAGCAGAACTGATCTTCTTGTTGCATGTGTGTGTCGTCCCAGATAGCCCAGCACACACCTGACCCTCAGAAGAGGCTAAGATATGCTTCCACTGCATGGTTAAAAATAATAATAACAACAAACAGTCTTCTGGTCCTTTTTTTTTTTTCTATTTTTTTTAGCATGGAAGAAAGGATCGGAAAGACAAATGAGTGTTAACCAAAGGTAATTGAACATAGAACTGATCAGCATTTTAATTGGAGCGCTCCTATAAATTAAGCTCATTAGAAGAGGAACCACTTTGTCATAGTTTTGCCAAAGACTAATATTGACATTTGAATATAAAATATGATGAATTAAAAGTAACATTTATGCCTACGTTATGTCTAGTGTAGGATACATATTGTCCGTTTCAGCTGATGAAAGGAAGGGATACTTGGTTGATATCAAATGCCATTTGTCCTTGCACTGCAGTTTCTACTACATTAGTTTTAAATACACCAGTGTGGATTGCTCATAATGGAGAAAAAGAAATTAAATATGAATGTATTACATGATTTTCCCATTGAACTTTTACATGGGAGTTAGACCATACTTCTGAACTATATTGACTTTAAATAACATCCTGAATTTCATCACTTTTATAAGCTCTGTTCTAAAAAAACATTACAGTGCATCCATTAAATTTTTTAAAGTTGATTTTCATTCTTCTGACAATTGCTTGTCTGAAGCACCAGATTTTTTTTTCTCTTCCTGCATGAGAAACTTAACAGAAGATAGTGAATGCTGCTTTTGCAATATACAGCATTGCAGCTGTCGTTAAAGATTTTCAAGCTCTGTCCCTTCACACAGAATCCCCCTCCCCTCTTGCCCAAAACACTACATGTGTCCATACCCGTAGGTGTGTATTATGGCAATGCTGTTTCACTACCATTACGTTTTTTCTAGGAAGTCATCATGATTATTATTTTAGCTAATAACTGTAACCCGAATTAAAGCATCACCCTTCAAACTAAGTGGTGATACAGGGTGTAAGAAAAAACAGTAACCGAGGACATTCTGGGGCTAAATAGGTGGTACTGAAGGCATTTAGGAGATGTGTGTGCTGGTAACCATATCCCAGACTTTCTGGACTAAGCACTCCCACCCCAGGTTTGGTGAGGCTTCTGTGAAGCCGAGAGGACTGTTAGAGCAGAGCAGAGCATGGTCCTACCGTCCTGCACAGAGGAAAGGGATTTCAGGGCTACAGGGACGAATCCTGACGCCCTTCCTCGGGCAGAATTTCTTTGCTGTCCATGCAGCCTTTATTGGGCTGAAATGTGGTGCAAGCGAAATACACTTTTTAGCTATTTCCTACAGAGATCTGTTTAATGAAATCTCATGAAAGAGATGCATAATATGCCTGTGGCTCCAGGCTTGGAAAAGAATTTAAAGACTTAGAGGGTTTGATCTCAAGCAGGGCAGGGGGTGAGGGGAACTGGCTAATTTTGTCAAGATGTATTAAATGAGGAGTTCTTGCTTGTTTTCAGTAGCAGCTGTTTGAAGCTGATGGACATATTCCTACAGACTACACAAAACAGCGGACTGATAATTACACAAAAGGAAAGGGAGTTGAAATATTAACATCCTGTTTAATTCATGAAATGGATATAGATACTATACTGGGAACAGAAACCTAAATTATTTCGTTGCGTATAGCGTGGGTAGTGTGAAAAGCTACAGTAAGTGCAAACAGTTTTAGCAAACAGGAACACAGTTGCTTTATATAGTAAAATAACTAAATATAATTCAGTCATTTAATCTTAATAAGAACATTGTTATTATAATATCTTTTGACTTTAATAGGGCTGTATATATGAATGGAGGATGTAAAATTATTGTAATTTAAAATTATGTTAACTCTTTTAGATAAGTAAAGGCATTTACATTACTATTATGAGACTGTAGAATATTTTAATAATAATTACTATTTTTCATTGTTAACCGTATAGTATCTTGTTTTCTAAGTCGATGTATGCAGACAGAATGTACTTTATTATGCACTGTACATGCAATCTTTTTAAAATTACGTTTTATACATGCTGGTATTTTATGTTTATTATATGAATACAATTAAAGGACTGAAATTAAAATATCTCTTTATATGTCCCCTGTGAAACTTCACTATCCGGTCCCTCAAAGAATGCCATCACAAGACAAAATAACACCATCCACTAAGAACATCTGAGATACCTAACAGACAAAACACAACTGTTAAACATTTAGTCCATTATGATACATCATGATCCAGTAGCCTCCCATTAATAAAAATAATTGATACATTCTTTAATATGGTCTCCTGCCA